CATTAAACGTGTGAATAAAATTGATGATCAATCAGCAAGAACATTGGTATATAATGAGATAAAAGCACTTCTCCTGGATATCACCGATGTAAACTTGCGTCAGAGAACATTCAGAGCAAAAAAGATTTATACGTTACTTGTGGGAATAGGAATAGAAAAATCCAAGCAATAACATGTAGTGCAAGTGCAATTTCGAGTTTAACTGACAATCAGATTCAAGATATTATAATTTGTGTTTTCCCAAATGCCAAAAAATGATCGGCGTTACAAATTGTAACGCGCACGTGACTGAACAAACTTTGCCCGAAACAGAGGTAAATACTACAACCACTCCTTCTATCCCATCGCCCCGTACCTCTAGTCTATTACCGGAAACTGAGGTAAATGTTACATCTAATCCGACCCATGACCATGCTTACTTTCGTAATAAGATATTGTTGCGATATTCTGATCTACATAAAACATTTATTACTGAAAATTTGATTACTACGATATTATCGAGGGATCATTATGCCCAGCATGTAAATTAAATCATGAAGATGGGAAAAGTGTAAAAGGTAGATATGAAGCCGGAACCTATTTTATTTTATGTGGAAAGCACGAAATCGAGATAACAGCATAAATCGTAAAGTCATACTGCCTTCGACAAATTCTCCGGTTCCAAATGATCGTAAATTAATTAACCATATTCATTTTTTTAATTGCGACTACGGCCAAAGAATAAGCCACAACTCATACTTAATTTGAATTTGCGATTGTATAAAACAATAGTATGGATAAAACCTTAACCCCCCGAATATTTGGACTGGCATGCTAAATTGATTGATTCACCAAGTCATTTGACAGACAAAATTCGCCTGAGCTTATATAGAGCGCATACAGAAGAGACTGGGCTCGATCCCTGGATAATGTCTGAAACTCCCGAACCCCCACAAATCGAAAAGACTGATAATTGCCTTTCACAGGATTGTGTTATCAAAATTTTCCAAGTTTCCGAAGAGAAAAGCTCAATCCATGAAGCAGTACATAGACGCTTCCCTTTCCTGTCTTACACTAATTCGAATGCATGGCATCGAGATGCATTTAAATATACTGATTCAGAAGCTAAATGCCCGATATGTAAAGAAGTGCATACACATCGAGGTGTATGGGGTGATTGGAAGTGTCTCGGTAAAGATGACACTATTTTCTTAATTGCCCTTTTCTTATAGATAAAAGAAAGTTATAATCGCTATACAGAGCTTACTGGAAAGTGTACCAAACAAAATCAGTAACTCACCAACTCGTCCAAGTAAAACCCGCCTTTATAAATATGCCATAGAACATCGAATGGATCCTGAAGAATTTTCGATCATTACAGAGGCAGAGAAAAATAGGTGTACTACGGGATGCTTCCGTGCTGACTTGGAGAGTGATATACACTTCTACCGTGGTGGAATAAAAAGGAAGGAAGATACTAGAAAATATCGTAAATTTTTAACAGATCGGGATAGACTAATCGGAGAAGAGTTATTACGTCGCAGTATATCAAAGAGTGGTTTGAGTACTACATGGCTAGACAATCTGATGAAAGAATGGGAAGAAATCCATACTCAATTCGTACAAATTTTTAGTCAGACATAGCGAGATCCAGAGGCCTCGGATGATGATTATTTATTTAAGACAGTAGGCAATTACTCATGATAATTCCCTGGTTTAATGAACACGATTCTTTTGGGATTTTATCGGATCGAGAGCATGGCAACCTTGGATATCTGAGAGAGATTTTTCAATCATATTCATGAGTTCTTCCAATAATAGATCGGACAATTCTAGCATCCGGATTAAAACGTATCTTTACTTCGTGCACCCATAACCAACCTTGTCCCAATACCAGATCAAATGTTGGATTCTTGCGAATTTCGAAGTCGTTTGCATCAGTACCATCCAAACTTTGCCATTTTCCTTTATAGTGAAATTGTAAATCTAAACAATTTATTTCACCTATTGCATCTTTATAGAGGTTTTTAACCGGATCACAAGTCGGTCTTATTCCATGATCTGTTCCAAGTCTATCGAACAAGCTCTTGCTAATGATATTAAACTTCGACGATATATCCATTAATGCTTTTACTGGGATTTTTCCTTCACTAAGCAGTGTATACGCATGTTAAGTATACGTATTTAATGATGTATATTGTAACCGAAAAAATAACTCTAAATAATTACTGATTCTTCAATATTAAATATAATTATTTGTAAACCATGAATGATTAGGAATAATCCCACCAGTCTCTCTTATATAATTATTGATTGCAGAGATTAAATCTGCTTTACCTAATGATGAACTTTTGAAGAGTGGAATGTGTAGAGGTGAGCGAGAACTGGACCATTTATCATCTGAATAATCAGGATACTTGATTTTAATTTTTGGATTAAGTTTTTTTATTTACTTCTTTTCTAATCCTGTGCACTCTACCAAACCGAGATATTTCAAATTATTACAATTGCGGGCTATTTCCTCGACAGCTTTATTACTAATCGAGCAATCACCAAGCTCAAGATGTCCAAGTTTTGGGCACGAGCGAGTAATTTCAGTGATACATCGGTTAGTGAGACATACAGTATACATGAATTAAGACTCAGATGCTGTAGTTTCGGAGAAAATCTTGCAATTTCTATAATTGGTATGTTAGTAAAACCATTAGTTCGGTCAAGAATAAGAGTGCGCATATCTGGACATGAGCGTAGAATCGTACTAATCAATCTGAGATTTTTAAACCTTTTAATCTGAAATATACACTCCCCGGAAAAAAATCACTGGAATTTATTTATTATTAATATTGCTTCTTTTACAGCATTAACACATCGATTCATACTTCTAACAAGATTTACATAAATTGATTTATCCAAATTGAACCATTTCCTTTGTAATAAATCTAACAATTCTGATTCATTTGTTGGTAAAGGAATGTGACTACGTATATGGAATTCTAATTCATCCCATAAATGCTCTATGGAATTGAGATCAGGACTCATTGTAGGTCAAGAAAGCTTATTAATTTCATTTTCTTTAAACTATCACATAGTTAACTTTGTCATATAAATTCTTGCATTATTATATTGAAATATATAATCTTTTTTTTCAACTATACTATTTGAATTTTCTAAGTAAAGTAAATATTATAAACAATACTTTGAAAAGGTTTCAGATTTTTTATATTAACTGAGAGCTTTATAACACATTTTCAAGCTTTGATTATTTGATTGCATTGTTATTTATTAAATTCTTTTTTTTTTTTTAATCCACAGTTAGATTAGTATGGCATATCTTTATTGTATATATGCTAGGTATTTATAAATTGTTGTGACTTTCACATACTGATTCACTCATCGTCAAAAAGTTATTTCTCTAAATACAACCTAGGGAATAATATTTCGTTCCTTTACTAATTTGAATAATTTCTTTAATTAATAAAATCATTGCTTACAGGTCATTACTGTAGATTATTCTAAGTTCTGTCTGCAGTTAAAAACCAAACCACTTTATTCCGTGACAAACCCAATCCTTAATAATCATCATATACTTCTTTCCTTTTATTTCTTTGATGTCCTTCAAGTTTAAATGCTCTAAAGGTAATGACAATTCTTTTTGGTCCTGTTCAGTCTGTTCATTAAGTCTGAGCTTGGGCCTCTTGTTTCTTTTATCCTCTTCTGTAATATTTTGCTTCTTTTCCCATTCTATAACTTTGACACAGTGAGTATTCCAAATCTTTTTTTTTTTAAATTTGTTCTCATCTTTTGATAGTGTTTACTATTATATCCTATATGTTTCTGATAGGATCTTGAGCTGCTCTTTGAGATACTTCTTCAAGGAGATGGTCTTGCTTTCTTCTATATATCCACAGATAGTATTGAAAAAACTTCTATCAGATTTCTGTATCTTTTCTAACTATTTGTCTATTCAGTCACTTATTTTAGGTTGAACTTCTTTCTTATATTTAATTTCTTTACTGATGAGTTTATTGATCTTTTTATTTACCTTCTGCTATAAGTTCTTCCAAGTTTTCCTAGTGACTGGACATTCAAAAAAATGTCCTAATATCTCTTCTTGAAGTTCACATACTGGGCAAGTGGTTGTGATATACATATCTGATTTCTTCTTCTTAAGTATCTATAGGACTAGAAGTTTATTGTGAGTTAAGTTAATTAGAAAGCTTTTGTCTTTATTGGTTTTGAAAGAGGTATTGAAGGTATTGGTTAGATTGAACTGATTTCAAAAGGTTGGTTAGTCTATAATTTTATCATTTTGGATTTAAAGATACTGGATCCATTTCTGTGTTGTCTAGTCTAGTTCAATCTTTTTTTATTGAACATTTTAATAAAATCTCTAATATCAATTTCTATTGTGTATTCTTCTCATGTTGCTATTGTGAGGACTCTTCTTAACTTTGGTAGCTAATGCCAAGTTATTGGGTTCGCCTATGTTTTTATTAAATTCTTTTTATTTTTATTTTTATTTTTTTTTTTAATCTATCATCAGGATAACATGGCTTATCTTTATTATATATTTAAAATATTATACAATTTTAAAGATTTTCACATAACAACTCACCTATTTTAGAAGTTTAACTTCTCTAGATGCAACTTAGAAGATAATATTTTGCTCTCTTAATAACTTGAATTATTCTTTAGTTATCAAGTTCATTGCTTACAGATCATTACTATAAAAATTCTTTTTATTTTTTTTTATTTTTTTTTTTAAACTCGTAATTAGGCCAGTACTGTGTATTAATTAATCATAAAGAAAACTGATTGAAATACATAGGGCAATTGCATCATGGCTAAACTAAAATTTCATACTGACACACTTGTCAATGACTTATAATTCTTAAAAGAGCTTCAGCCTCTAAGTGCAATCTTGGAAATAATATTTTGTTTTGAACTAAGTTTTGGGTAAAGAATCTTCTAACTTATTTATCATTGCCAGCAGATTGTCCCTGCTTATTATTTTCCAAGGAACTGAATTCAAGAAACTACAAAAAAGAAAAGAAAAAAATAAAAGAAAAGGGGAATATCTAAAAATGTACAAACACACTACATAAAAATGAAAAAAGAAAAAAGAAATTTAAAATTGCTTCATGTCCTCCAAAGGATCTCTGCTAGAAACTTCTTCTCATTAGGAATCAACTCTTCTGGAATATTCTTTTTCTTCCTGACTATCTAAGAAACTTATCTATCTATGCTCTTGATTATTTTCTTGTAACTGTCTGAAATACTTATCGAATACTCAGATCCAGTGTCTTGCTCAACACTTCCTTTTTTTTGGTCTTGATTTTATATCTACCACGCAGAATTGAATGGCTAATAGTAGACCCCAGGTTCTTATATGGCTTTTCAATCTTGTTGTATAACTCCTGATATCATCCAGCAGCTATGCCTAGTTAAAGAAATTTTACTAGTATATATCT